GTCATCAAAAGGCGCAGGCCCCCCCAGTCAATCTGGCAGCCCGAGTCAATCTGGTACCTATAACGGCAGTGATGTCACGGTGCGGTAAGCCTAGCGCTGGCGGTAGTGAGGTGTTATTATATTTGGGCAAAAAATTATGATTTAAATTTTTTTACTGATTAATGCTATATCAATTAAATCACCGCGAACATATCAGTTTTAGGTATAAATAATGATCCATTGATTATTCCATGCTGACAGGACTTTTCCTTTAATTAGTAGGCAAGAAAGATGATTGGTGTGCAGTAGAGAATAATAAAAATAAAAAAAATAAATAAAAAAACACCAGCACTATGCTCATAAAAGATCCCGGAGAGAAAGCTGGATTTTCTAACTCCTCTGGGCCCTGAAGCCACCGATTAACTGATCCATGTTTCCATTCAGGTTAAACCTCCTTTTACCACATTTCCATTTGAATCTAAGCAGCGTTCATGAGTTTGGTAGATTCCATAACCATGTTAGACAACGTAACACCAGCAGCATGCTATGATACTTTAGCGTCTTTGGCCAACCGCTACAGGAATCTTATTTGGTGCATTAGAACCAAATGTGTTTCCGGTGCTGTTGCTGCATGGCTAACGACATCTTCACGTAGGAGGAGCTTACCTGATTTTGGCCTGTTTTAACTTGACATTGCGGATGTCAATCAAAGAGTGAGCACTGTGTTTATTCTGAAAATAAAGTAAATCGGCTGTGAAAAATCTGTTTTCACTAGTGGAAAACATTATGCTTGAATTTAGAAAAGAAAAAATAAAACTGTTTTGCAGTTGCATAGAGATTGATTGATTGATTGAGTTTTCAGCTACAGCTACTACTCGTCCCCTAAGATTCCTTTTTAAACATGTCTTTTTACTAAAATGTTTTTCGGTCAAGATTTGTGGATATTAAGATCTAAAGAGAAGCGCCATCTCCTGGTCAGACCCTGTAATTCAGTGAAAGGGTGGAGTCAGAGTAAAAATATGCAAGCCCAGGAGGAGGAGGGGGTCACTCTAGTGGCTGGAAGAAGGAAGGGCCATTTTGAATGGCTGCTACTGTATTTGTTATCTTTGGTACTTACTTGCCCTCAGAGCCGTAGCTGTTCATACTGTCCTCTATGGATTCGTGGCTCGCCTGGCGGACGGTCCGGCTGGGCATCTCCACAGCCAATCCCGTCTCAGTGCTCCTCTGGATGCCTCCCTTCAGCTTCCTTCCGTCCGTATCCACTGCAGGGAAACAGACACAAATCAGTGCCGAATTAAGCAGCTCAACATGTCCACTCACAAGGTTAGGATGTATAAAATATTTCTATTGGAGCCATTTCTGGGTATCTGCTGCTGCGTCCTGGTCTGTTAGTGGAAAGAGACCAGAAATCACTCTAAGAAGGGCAAGGACAACTTTAGGTCAGGAGGTACATTTTGTTGCTAAGTAGGCCTCAAATTAATGTGCAGCTCACATTACGGGGCATATCAGGAGCCTCAAGGACTCTGATGGGCAAATTTGTTCAGAAAAAGTGAGAGTGACTCCATTTTAATTCAACAGGAGTGTAGTGTCATAAACAGAGATGGCAAAAGTACTCACTTTCCTTACTTGAGTAAAAGTACAGATACTTGTGTTAAAAAATACTCTGGTAAAAGTGGAAGTACTGATTAAACTTCTTTACTCAAGTAAAAGTAACAAAGTACAGGCTTGTAAATTTACTTAA